TTCATCTAAAACCAAACATTCATTCCATCAGTAATCGTTAACAGCATAGTAATAATACCACTAAACTATAATCTTTCACCTCACCTATTAGACTCCTTGGAAAGCCTTTCTGACCTATTTTTAAAAATACAATACACATGTATTCATCAATGATACAGTAATATTAACATCAAATAACATCTATCCACTTACCTCTCGAATCCCTTGTAAGGCTCTCTTAGTCTAAAAATATAAATACAGTACTTCAGTGACAGATAGGCACTTAGTAGTAATAACACCAATTATATTCCCTTAAATTACCTTTTAACCCCCTGAAACGCCCTTTAGACTCATAAATTAAAAATTTATTCCATCAGTTTTGTTAATTGTTAATAGTTGTTAATAAATGTTAGTAGTATTGTGATAATAGCACCATTTATAGCCCCACTCATAACCCCACTGGCCCATTGTACTTTTGGATCTAAAACTATAAATACATCTCATCAGTTATCAATAATAGCATAATAATAATAGTCAAATTAAAATCCATTAACTTACCTCTTGATCTCCTTGAACGGCACTTTAGCATCTAGAATTAAAATATATTACATCAGTTATTATTAAGTAAAAACATCATACTAAAACCCCACATCTTACCCAGATTCCCTTGAAAGTCCCTCTTCGTTCTAAAATTAATAATATTTTACAAATGAATATTAGCATAGTAATAATAATAGTAAATAAAAATCCCCAATCTTACCCTTCATGCCCCTTGTTTGGCTCTCTTGGTTCTATAAATAAAATACATCTGTAATTGTTGTTAGCATAGCAATAATAGCATTAACTGAAATCCCTCACCTCTCGGGCCTCTCCTAAAGCACTCATGGATCTATAATTAAAAACTCCATTTACATCAGTAATTGATAATAACACAGTAATAATAACTAAAATTTTCCCATCTTACCCTTCGAGCCCCTTGTAAGGCATTTCTGGTTCTATAAATAAAAACACACCCATCAGTATTTGAAAACTGCTCAGAAATAATAAAAACAAACTAAAATCCCTGAACTCGCCTTCCAAACCCCTTGGTGGGCTCTCCAGGTCCTATATTTAAAAAGCATCACACTTGTAATTGGTAAATGCACAGTAACTTAAACATTAAATTAAAACTCCTGTTCTTACCTCACATTCCCCTTGTTAGGTTTCTATGGATCTAAATTTAAAAATACATTACATCAGCAATTGTCAATAGCATAGCAATATTACCACTAAATCCCTCATCTTACCTTTCGAGTCCCTTGTTAGGTTCTCCTGGCTCTAGAATTAAAAATAGATTACATCAGCAATTATTCATTGCTTAATAAAAACAGCACTAAATCTAAAATCTCTCACACTACCTCCCAGGCCCCTTCCTAGGCCCTCTTGGATCTAAATTAAATATACACTACATCAGTAATCTTTAATTGCATATCAATGTTAACATCAAATTTAAAATGCAACTAATTACCTTTTCAGCCCCTTGAAAGGCTCTCTTGACCTAAAACTAAAAATACAATACATCTGTACTAGGCAATTGCATAGTAATAATACCACCAAACTTAAATCCCTCCACTTACCACTCATGTCCCTTGAGAGGCTCTTTCGGATCTAAATTAATAATGCACTACACTATGCAATTACATCAGTAATATGTAATTGCATAGTATTTTAATACTATGCAATTACATATTACTGATGTAATTGCATAGTATTGGTGATGCTTCTCATCTAAATCAACTTTTTTTTTTTTTTTTGCTGGAATCCTTTATCGCTGGATTTTTCACTGTGGTTTCTCCACTTCATTCATTTTGAAACATCCAGAAATTGTTAGGTTAGGTGGGGCTGGGTTGCATTCTGCATCTTTCCTATCTTTCATTTCTCCTTAATAATTAAACATTTGGTAAGTTAAATAAAAAAGCAGTACACAAAACATACCAAACATAATAAAGAATTGGACATAACATAAAAAACGTAAATTTATGAGCCCTCACAAGGGACTAGTATTTATGAGCCCTACTTGGGACTTCTATGAGCCCATTTAAAAATTAGAACACTCTTCTGAAAAAAACATTCTTGGCCTCTTTGTGCTCTCTGATCGGTAAGGGGCCTAAAACCACAAATAAAAAAAGTATGTTATATACACTTGTAGCCCAATTCTTAAATACACTGTATATTTAAGAATTAACAAGTCTAGATTATAGTAATAAGTATTAAATCTTTATCAGGAAAAAGGATATTTTAAAAAATTACTTTCAATTTTTACTTAGAAATAAATAAATTCATTTAGCCTATTATAAAAGAGACGAACAAAAATTTATATAATAAACACAAATACAGTACAGCGTCGATTTTCCGAATCAATTGGAGACTGGGGTTGTCCGGATAACTGATATTTCGGATAACTGATTTACGCACGAAAAAATAGTTTAACGTACCCGATGTCGAAATTTTTCCTCGTTGCGTGTCGCTTTGCGTTGAATTTTCGTCGATGTTTAGCCTAACGAAGACTGTTGTATCGTTAAAAGTTATTTTTTTTATTTTGTACAAACAAAATAAATATATTGAAAAATATAAAAATAATAAAAAAAAATTATACTTCAGATGTTTATTTAGTATAAAAAACGTAAAATATTTGAGTAGCCCAAGACATAGCCAAAGATTGAAGCGCCATAGCACTGGCGAAAATTTAAATTTGCCAACTGGAATTCTTTCGGATGATTGACGTTTCGGATGATTGACTTTCGGAAAATCGACGCTCTACTGTATTCGTTTTATTTAGGCTTATAATTAATAAAAAAACGACGAAACACGATTTAAAGTGCATTTTTATTCGACTAATATATTTATAAATAATATGTAGCTCCCAATGAGCCAAATGATATTTTTTACGCCAAACTAAAAAAAAAAAGGTAGCTAACTTTGGCGCAAAGTATGCAACGCTGGAAGGAATACTAAATAAAGCCATAGTTGGGACTCAAAGGATTATAGACCCAAATGCTGGAAAAGGAGAGAAAGGACAAAATATAAAGAAATGAGGAAGGTTGGTAAATTAAGGGTCCCTATTTGCATCACAGAAAGTCTATTTAACCTTTCTCAGTACTTTATTTTTTGGCCTTTTTCTCCTTTCCCCGAATTTGGGTCTATAATTCTTTGAGTCTCAACTTTAGGTTTATTCAGTATTCCTTTTGATTCACACATTTCAAAGTATTTGAAAATATTTCCTTTCTACTCAAAAATAAAATATGTATAAAGATTTGTGAAACTTCTTTTTTTTTGATTTTATGCCGATGAAATAAATAAATGAAATAAAATTAAAAAAATTTGTCGGTTTTGTTTACACGTTTATTGGGCCACATTGGAACTTATCTTGGGCCGTATGCGTCCCGTTTCGTTTGGTATGTGGCTTTGGGGGATATCTTCTAGAAGGGGAGAATCCAGGAGAATTCGACATACATAGAAGTTTTATTATAAGCTAAATAAAACTCTAGTGAAGAGAGAGCACTTGTTTCAGTGACGATAAATTGTTTTTGTAATAGATAAGGACAGAAACTATAATTATAAATCAGTACAATCTGCCATACTATGCAACTTGCTAATTATAAATGTTGTAGCAAATTCGTAGAACATTATTGCATTTGAGTTTGAAAATTCCAGGGCTGTGGAATCGGAGTCGTGGAGTTTTGGTGTTTTAGCCGGAGTCGGAGTCGGAATCGTCACAAAATCCGCCGATTCCGACTCCGTTTTACTTACCAACTTGTTATGTATATAAAACGGAAAAGTATTGGAATCGTGTCAAATTTGATCCTCCAAGTTTTTGTTTTGCAAATCTACACGTTTGGAGGCCTCCCGAACTCCTCAAAAAAGTCAATAAAAGTCAAAAAATTCGCACCCGCGTGTGTGTTAACGTCTAATTTGTTTAATTTCTTTATTTTCCGTTCTGAGTTATTAAACAATATCTCAGAATGGGTAAAGTTTAAAAAGCAAAATGTGGCACTGTAGCTTGCGTATAAAGGGGCATTAATACTATTAAATTTTGGTTCTTAATTAAAGGTCGACAGGGTGAAGACATAAAAGTGTTCATGTGTCATATCTCTTAATGAATATTTTACTCATTATTAGCGTTTAAAATTTAAAAAAAATAAAACAAAACTCGTCAATACCCTCAAAGTAAGCTTTTTTGTCATTTTATAATAGTACAGTAAAACCCATTAAGATGTTCTCGCCTAAGACGTTACAATGTAAATGGGGACATGATTAAGTTCAACCATTTTGACGCTTGATAACTAACTCCTGTGTTAAACCATATGACTCCGATTCTGACCACTCTGACCACAAAAATTATTAGGCTTCAAACAGGGTGAACGAAATCATGCCCCCCGTACAGTCTAACATACACACATATAGAAAAAACCTCGGATCATTTGCATATCTTGTGTAGCGCTGGGTCAAAAACTGACCCAGCGCTACACTTTCACTCTGTTATATATAACAGCCGGAAAAGTAAAAGTACTTAGAGAAGTCTTTTAGCTGTGGAATGAAAAGTTTCTACGTTCTATCTTTATTACAACTCTATTTATTAAATTTTTTATTCTGAAGTTACTTGATGACATCAGAATTTCCGGGTCTCTTTCGGCAACAATTCCTCCCCTGGTCGAAGTCGGAGTCGGTAGATTTTTACGCGACTCCACAGCCCTGAAAAATTCTGAACCGTGCGATATTAACCGAGAAGTATTAATAGAAGTATTAATCGAACTTCTGATAAGAAAAAGTTACAAAGTTGTCTATAAAAGTTTAATGTATCACTAAAACCATTTAAATCGGCCTTAAACAATAGGACGAAATGAAAAAAAAAATGACGTATTAATGCAATTTTTAAAAATACACAATAAGAAGCAAGATTGCATGCTAATAATTTTATTTTCTTAAATTCATATTACATTGTTTAAATTTACAATAATAATGAAATCGATTTCAAATTAGATTACGTATTTAATATTTCATATTAATTATCAGAATATTAATTTTATCATCATTCGTTTATTATATTTGTTGTTATTTATTTGTCTATTTTTATGCAGAATTCTGGTATTTCTGGATTACTTACAGTGCCTCCAAGTAAAGTAATTATAATGCTTCCAAGAAGCTGTAGAACACGTTCAAGATCGTCATATAAATTTCTACATTCGTAATTGGGATCGTTATAAAATCTGTCAAGAAAATCTGCGAGGCAACTCTCAAGTGACCTAAGACTACTGTTAATATAATCGATGCAATCGAAATTTTTCAGTTGATCGAAGACGCAAGCCAAATAATTTGTAATATTATCGAGAAGCTCGCATTCCTGGCTTAAATTTAAAAATCCAGTTTTCCAATCGTCAAGATTACACGAGTCGCATTCGTTCTCTCGACGAATTGTGCCACCTAGTAATTTATCATCTAAAAACATTACAATTGAGCTAACGTTCAAGCCAAGAAGTTCAAGTCCCCTATAGCATTTTTCCAAATTTGCCCCAAGCTGAGAATAAAAAAAGTGAAAATTTGCATAAATATTAAATATCAAGTAAATATTTAAACTTTTAATTAAATAAACATTTAAAACAAAGAAAAAGAAACAAAAATAATAAGTTGAAATTATATTAAAATAGAAAAATATATTAAAAAAAAAAATTACCTTTCTTTCAGTACAGTGAAAAAAGTCATCCAAACTCAAGTTGCGGAATCCCTTTAATATATCTGAAACGGAAACGATTGCTGGGGGATTATTACCTGGAATAATTCCTGTTAAGTCACCTATACGATTTGAATATTTTTTAAAATAAAATTTGTCTTTCATATTTCCTGCACTTTTCGCCTTATCGACAGGCATTCTCTCGCCTTTATCGAATGAAACATCTTTCTTTATTTCTTTCTTAGATGCTTCGGTGTTTTCTACGATTGTAATTCCTAACAAAATAAATAATGTTTAATTAATTCTAATTTATACTACAAGAATATAAAAAAGGTATAGATATATTTTAACCGTTTACAGGCCAAATCCAATAACTTCATTTGTATATCCTTAGCTCCTTACAGGGGAAATATTCAATTGAAATAAAATGATTTCCGGTTTTCATCGGAAATTTGTATATAATAATTGATCAGGACCTCCTGCAAGGTATGGCCTCCATATCTAATCCCTTTTTCGAGATTAAATTAAGAAAAGACGGAGAGAGGACAATATACATTTATACCACTACAATTTTCTTTTTCAAATTGAAGCTCGATTATCAATTAGAAATTTAAAGATTACAGAAAAATATTCAACTTACCAACAAGGACCAGTAGAAAGAGGATGGTTTTCATGTTGCTTTCGGTTTGTTGATCGCCGAAATGTGCTTTAACTACAGTCTTCCGTGCCTTTTAACAGCTAAATTCTGCGTAGAATTGTGTAAATTCAGTGCTTTCTCCTCATTCCTGTCAATTTTTAGTCTGAGTTTTCCATACTGAGTTTTCAGACAGTAAACAACAGGTGTTTCTTAACAACTCGCTTTCAAACATTTTCGAATTTGAATTCAAAAAATCGAAATTTACAATCTCAAATTATATTTCATAAACTTTCTAATATTCTAAACTAAATAAATAATTGAAAAATTAAATAATTATGGATTAAATAAAATTATTTTAAGACTTATTTAATTTTAAATCGAAATTTTTAGTTGTAGGTCTTCCACGTGTAAGCTACAGGTGTTCGTTAACAACTGCTTTTACATACTCCGAGTTAAACCCACTTTTCATCGATAAAAATCGTCATGTTTAATTATTCGAATAAATGCAATTTTTAATATTTAAATTATATTATTAAAATACAAATTAGGCCCGAATTATCAATATAAATTCATTTTGTCCTAATTACTTTATAGTACAAAATACTCGTAATAACTTGTTTTCATATATGTTTTATATTTTTAAAATATACATACGTTTATATCTTATTCTATATATTTATAGCTTATAAAATATATTTATAAACTTAAATGTATTTTCCAATATATTGCACCTTAGAAACTATTCGAGATTGTCGAAAACTTATAAACTATTTAAATTTTATCAAATATTAAGGTAAAAGACACTTAAGAGTCTGTATTTAAAGGTCAGAAACAATTGAAATATTTATATTATCTACGTTAAAGTATAACATTTTTATTGGAAATTACTTAAATACTTTATTTTATCGTCATTTATATATCATAATTGTAAATTACCTTTGTATGAAGCCATTTTGTTGATGACGTGGAATACAACAATCGTTACAGATGTTTCGATTATTTCTGTGTTTAATTACTAAACAAATCTAATCGCCTAATTTCGGATAAGGCTTATATTTTATTAATCTTATATGAACATTTTTATTTAAATTTTCAAATATATTAAAATTATAAATTTATTTTAAAAATTTTGTTAGATAAATACTTGAGATATTAAAACTTAAACCTTATTTTGCACCCTACATCCTTTCATCAAGAGTCCAAATATCTATTTTTTAATAGCGGTTTATAGTATTTTCCTTGCTGTAACCATAAAAAGCGACAGAGAATAAAAAATTATAGTAGATTTAATTAACTTATTCTTATAAATTTAAAGATATTTACGCTGTTTTCTTGTAGAATTAAAAGATAAATATAGTGTAAAAATACAAAGTATTAAAGAGCAATACGATTACATTATTCTTGTCTTCTCTATGGTCCCTTTCAACATCACAGAAACATGATTTACACAGCAGAGTCGACCTTTCTTTTTAGGCTGCTTTCCCTGCCTATATTTATGTAAATTAGGTAAAAAGTTTTATGACTATGGATTCCATTAATAAGAAGAAAGATCGACTTTGCTGTGTGGATCACGTTCCTGTGATGTTAGAATAGACGACAGAGAAGACAAGAATAATGTATTTGTATTAGTCTTTAATACTTTGTATTGTTACAATGTAATTTTATATAAATATATTATATCCTGGATTTTTAAAATATTTCTTTACAATGTAAAAAATTTTTATTGATGGAATTCCCTACTTGGATCACCAGACTAAAACATTCTGGAATTGCTATTTATGTTATTATGGTCTTGAAAGATATTCGTGTTTATGAAGGGTCTTTGTGTCCGAAATTTATTCTACTAAAACTTCGATTGTAGTTAATTAAAAACTATATTTTTATAAAAAGTTATTGTACTTTGCTCCAGTTAGTCCTTCGAATTTATTGTAGCCGTATTTATTAGGCTAATTAATCTAATCTTAATTTTCGTTGTGGGACAGAAGCGTTATTTTAATAGCCTATTTTATGTGTTCAATATATTATTTGAAGTAAATAGCACAGTTTCTATTGTACACAAAATCTACAGCAGCCAACTTTAGTAGTTCGGATTTTCGCTAAGTAAAATGGAAAAGTAATAACCGGGCATTGCAATCGCATGGCTAGACAATCTTCCATGTGTTATCATATTGATGCTATTCTTTTTGAAGTCGAAGAAGGAATTAAAATAAGAAGCTCCCAGACATGTACTGACAGACTAAATAATTGGACAGTGGCACATGTAGAAGATTCAGGCTATAAAACACCACAAAAAATAAACTATACATCAGCTGCAACTACAGGCAAACGCAAATGCCTTGAACAAAAGAATATACAGAAATCAAATTTTTAAGTGATAAAGCTTGGAATATAAACAAACCTAGTAAGACGGAAATTGAGCAGTTTTTGAACAAATTCTCTGTTCATTATCCAACTGCGGCAATTTTCTCAGTGATTCCAGATTAATGTAATTCTTTTACAAACCATGCCAATTCATCTTGTTCTAGGAATCCACTTACAACGCTGTTTAATGCCAAAAACTTGCTTTACCCTGGGATCAGCTGCAGGACAGTGTTTAAAACTTTGCACCTGACTGATAAAAAAATCAATTTTATTAATGTCCATAACAGTAGCTGTTCCCAAACCATATTTTCTCCTTTTTTCTACGCATTGATTATCTCAACTTTTTCTATTATGGTAAGAACATACATTTTCGTTACAGCAAGTTCGTAGACGATTTTAATAATCATCAATTATTATTTTGTATTTATTTATCTTATTACTTTTATTTAATCCAACTCTATTCTGTGACAATTTAAATATTTTGGGATAAAATATTCAAGATATTATAGAAAATCTTTTAAAATTAAATAATATAATAATTCGAAATTTTTATCAAGGCAATAAAAGGAAACAAATGTTTTCTGTGTTGACAGTCAGTTCCTGGGAGATATCGTTATCTCCCATGACTAAAAGGGCTGACTAAATAGAGACTAATCGACCACACCCAGTCAGATGCTTTTATTCCTTAATTTCTATTAGAGGAAAAGGGGAGTATAAATAAGAGATACGCTCCAAACTCTGGACACAGCACATCACTATATCCTCAAATTTAAGTTAGTGCAATACTTTATAAGATTGAACTTCCGCCCAAAAGACAGGAAAGTTACAAATCAAGAATAATATGAAGGTATTATAATCAGTACTTTTGTAAACTCTCTCTCTCAACCTTTAGGGACCTATTTTAAGTTTTAGTCATTAAGATTTAATCATAGCTAGATTTATTCAGTTTGTTCATTTGTATTCTTTGTTTTTCATTAAAGTTTTGTTAATTTGTTGACTAAATGGGATTCTAGTTTCCTCACGGACTCATATCACTTATTCAAGTATCTTTCCACTCAAACGAGTGGAAAGATACTTGAATAAGTGATCGAAATAGTAGTATGAATCGAGAGTTGGGACGCGCATAATTATCCTAACTGGTGTCAATCCTGACGTTGATCTCGATCTCACGATATAGATCTTTATTACTGCTCATAGGTTATCTTCGCGATTCGTACTGAATCGTACTATTTCGATTAAGAGGGGTCGTTTGTGTGGGGGAGACACGTGAGTAAGTAATAGGAGTCAGTGAAGAAACTAGAATCCCGTTTAGTCAACAAATTAACAAAAACTTTAATGAAAAACAAAGAATACAAATGAACAAACTGAATAAATCTAGCTATGATTAAACCTTAATTGACGTAGAGATTGGATCTCACAGATCTTGTGCAGATTAAGTGGTGATTAGGATTCACCCTTCACACCCTGCTTATCTTACACTGGTTTTTCAGGAGTGGGGTTTGAAACTCAAAAAGCACCTCGCATTTCAATATTAACACATTGGTGTGAAAAAAAGATAGGTTTGTCCTTTGTAAACAGGTTGTCCGTTTTAGACAGGTTTTGATACAAACAGGCTGTAGTTCGTAGACAGGTTTTGGTACCTTAGGGCATATTCTCATAGAAGATAACCTATAAGTTAATTTAAGTTAATTAAGTAAAATAAGTAATTAGACAAAATGGCAGAAGAAAAGCTTAGGGGCACTTTAAGTGGAATTTGCAGTTTTGTGCTCTTCCTTCCCTCTTTCTTATGGAATTCCGATGAGNAAGAGGAATGAAGAAGAGAAAAGAAAAAAAGACCCCGAGGTCAGTCGTCATCCGAAGTCCCTCTACAACAGTCGTCATACTAAGTCCGCTCAACAAAAGTCGTACTTCCGGATTAAAACCGTGACCCAGGATTAAACACCGAGAGAAAAATTCGTGCTGGATTAAGCCTCTACACTCCTCCGTGCCTCCACCCCAGTGAACGGACAAGATTCGGATCTAGTGTAAAGAACTGTCCATCGACAAGGTATTTATCATCCCGCGATTCGTTTGTAAACTCTCTCTCTCTCAACGACCTAGTATAATTAAGAACGATAATATGCCCGATAGTATTTAGTATCTCTGTATAGTATTTAGTTCGATTTAATTAAAATTGTTATTTATTTGTTACTATTGTCCGAGTAAGTTACTTCCTCGTCTCTCTCCTCACCTCTACTTTGAATCCAATCGCTCACCCGCTACCGCTCGCGAATCTTTAGACGTAACGTCGCGATTTCCGAGTCCCCCAGAGACTCGGTAGTGTCAGATTCAGGTCTCCTGACGTGGTGTCAAAGAGACACCGACCCTACGGTCACACAAACGAGCCCTCGTAATTGAAATAGTAGTACGAATCGAGAGTTGGGACGCGCATAATTATCCTAACTGGTGTCAATCCTGACGTTGATCTCGATCTTACGATCTAGATCTTTATTACTGCTCATAGATTAGCCTCGCGATTCGTACAATTTCGATTAAGAGTGCTCGTTTGTGTGGGGAGACAGGTGAGTAAGTGATAGGAGTCCGTGAAAAAATTAGAATCCCGTTTATTCAACAAATTAACAAAAACTTTAATGAAAAACAACGAATACAAATGAACAAACTGAATAAATCTATCTATGATTAAACCTTAATTGACGTAGAGATTGGATTTCACAGATCTTGTGCAGATTAAGTGGTGATTAGGATTCACTCTTGACCTCCTGCTTATCTCACACTGGTTTTTCAGGAGTGGGGTTTGAAACTC